AAAACAACAACAAAAACAACAACCACCACCAATCACCATCAAAGGGAGAGGTATAACCGTGGTTACCTCCTTCACTTATCTAGGAAGCATCGTATCAACTACAAATGGAACAGATGAAGATGTCAAAGCCAGCCAGTCAGAATCGGAAAACCAAGATACGCCTTCATCAACCTGAAACCGATTTGCAAATCTTCCATACTGAAAAGAAGAAACAAGATTCGCATTTTCAACATCAATATCGAGTCTGTAAATGCTTCTATACAGGGAATAAAAAGACAGTTGCAGAGAAGAAATACAGGTCAGAAACTCGACCAGCATTTCACGAAAAGGATTCCCTACCCTTCACGGCAGACTTTCATCAACAGCTGCTCGCTTCGCTGGCTCCATACTGAAGATCAAATGGTCAGAAAGAATAAGTAAAAAGAAACTGTGGGAACAAACCGACCAAGAGTTGATTGCTCAACAAATATGTAGGAAAAAATGGAGATGGAATGGGAGTAGACTGAGGAGGCTGTCGAATGACATCGTGTGCCAGGCCCTCGATTGGAATACAAACAGGAAGCGACAAGTTGATTGTCTTTGCAAGGGTGATATGCAGGAGATCGTCTGAGGAAGAGATGAGAGAGTCTGTGCAATCGCGGAACTAGCTGAAGACGTTGGCAGAAAATAGAAGAAAGTGGAGATGTGTTGTTGAAGACCTGTGTTCCACTTGGAACCCGAAGGGAACAATAATCATAATATTTAAAATTCTCCATGAGTTTATTAGTCATCTCTCCTCGTAATCTTGAAGTTGATTGATTCTTTTCGTTTATTTTTTGCCCTCCAGTCCAATCTTATTCACACCGATTGTTTCCCTGATAAGAAATCTGACCTTTGCTACGTATGATTTCTTTCCTTATGGATTGGTTGATCTAATCTATGCCAATATGTCTGTTGATTGACAATTCATCTGAATACCAGGCCTCCAGAAATCCTCTGGACTTTTTGATGTTTCCTCTGTTTTAAGATAATTTTCACCATTATCGTGGCAATTGCATTTGTGCCCGTGAATGTCTGTATTCAATGACATGAGACAGTGGACATACTGTCTTTTCGCGGCCAATACATGTTCATGCATTTGAAGACGAAGATGGTGTTGTTAACATTGGCCAATGTATTTTTCTCCCAGTCAATGCAGTCGTCTTGTAGACAGTTTGAATCAGGTCAAAAAGCCAAGTCATTTCAAACCATCCGATACAAATTATTCAGTAGTATGCGGCATCGATGTCCGTGTTAGTGATCGCAATTTGTGGGACCAAAAAGATCAAATTTAGTGTGATTTAAACAATACGCAGCTAGGAATACACAGAGGTTGTCAACTCATAAGAACTTCATAATCTTTCAAATGTGACATGAGAACAAGAGTCCGCCTTCTGTCATAGAGATGATGTTACAGTTATCTTCAGTGGACAAGAGAATCAACCACTTAGCAAGATCATCGTGCAGGATGAATAGAAGACGTTTTCTCTGAGAAATGAGGCAGAAAATCAGTTGATCTTTACTATCTCACATGGCAACTGTTTCTTTCTGCCGAATTAGGGTAAGCTACTTCTAGGCAGTATACTGAGTCATTGAAAGTATTATCCAATATATGCATAAGCATAAGAATCATTGACGGCGGCAGTGTAATCAATACTTGAATATGAAGTCGTACGCGATGAAAACATGTGAAGCGTTGGTTTTCAGGGATTTGATCGGTTACAGGATTTCATCATCGAGCTGGAATTCAGGAGCCAATGGAAGCGGTCTCCTTCAATTGTCACTTGACTTCATCTTCGAAATGACTTGGAAGACTTCACTTTGTGAATGGCGTCATTTTCCGTCAGCTCGGTGGGATTTCATGCCTCACCTAATCACATCAACTGAGGGAATCATAATCCATGCTTTCACCGCACTAACCCCTATTATCTCGCTTGTCTCATACATGCTGATATGTCCGCACTTCGTAACCATCACTGCCCTCTCTTTCGTGTTATTAACCTCACCTACCTCTCTCAGAAAATCAGTGCAAGTATTAATCACCATTATGCGGGCACAGCAATGAACGAGAACGATACTTCGCGATCGCCAACAAAAATGCTACAGTCTGACATACCCATGATGCTGCTTAACACGCGCCACTCACAGTTTGAACTGTCGATGAACACGGTCTGACATAGATTCCTATGTATTAGTCAGATTGCAGCCTCTCTATCTGTTAAACATATTATTTCTTAACCATTCAGTCGCAACTTAGAATTCATCGCCCCCTCTCAATAGCCAACACTACTTCTAGTCAGATAGGAGAGAAAGAACACAAAATAAACTCTCTGGAATATTTCCTTCTTCTTCTCTCTGGGCAGTACCTTCTCTTGTGTCATGGTTTGCCACATTCAACGCACTGGTCATCCCTGTCACTCATGCGTAGTGCCGCTACTTCACGCTGCAAATCTTCAAATTTCTCTTCCAATTAGTCATGTATTACGTTGTCTCCATTGCAGCTAACGTTGGGATCAGCAGCTGTCAGGTCATATTTGACAGCTCACCGATGTTCATGTGTTGTGCAGCATACTGGCAGTGACACCAATTGAAACAGACGATGAGAAGATACTTGGTACAGGAACGTTTATTTATAATTTGTATTTCCTATGTAGGGAAATTACGTACGACGACGAACGTCTCTTGATATACTACTGATAAGTCTCATCGATAGCACACGCCGCACTAGCTTTATTCAGAATACTTGACTCAATGGGGTGTTAATCATTCTAAATCTAACCTTAAATTCACAACTTCTGATAATTTAACTGATCTTCATCAACTCGTTGGACCTGATTAATTGATGTCAGCTGCCGTCACTAGATGATATTTGATAAATTCTATTAGATCACGTAATTGAATCTATTGGTTCTTTCAGCTGACATAGTTTGTCGCTGAGTAGTTTCATTAGTTGGTCGGTTGTTTGGTTAGTTGTTTGATTGGTAGATTCGTGTAGATACCGCCCTAATTCCAGATTCCTTGAGAGCGCTACGCACGCACTGAAAATGTACCTGTGTTAATTGATACTCTCATTCATGGTAGTAACAGTCTCGTCACAAGGAATATTGGAGAATATGAACAGAACTATTTAGCTAAAGATGACGATGACTGTAAGTTGTTCATTGTATCTGAATATTTTATTGATTTGAATTTTCCACATATTCATATTCTCTGGATGCTTTTATTGGAATGAAATGTCTCATATTGTGTTTGATGTGCTACAACCAGTCACTGGGATTCATGCAGGCGCAATTTCGATTCCACTGCTGACCATCATCCACCAGAAAAGCGTCTTATTCGGTTTCAGTCCTATGATATAAAGTCATTTCCGCTCTACGTCAAATGAAAGACTCAATAGTGAAAGGAGTCAAAACTGACACCATCTACAAGATGAATTGCAGTGATTGCGACTGACACCCTTTTCGTCTTCGTATCCAGGAACATCAATTGGTGGTGAACATACATGATTTCCACTGCCTCAGGTCATTGCATACAGACATCCATGGACACCATTTCTTCGATTGGTTGATTATTTGATTTCTGTGCGCTCACGTGAATGCATGCATGAGTGCGGGCGTGTGTGTATGTGTATGTTTTGAAATTCTGTATATTTCTGTTTCCAATTTTCTTGTATTCGTTCTCTTGATTAAAAGACATCGAATAAAAACGGTATTTCGTTGTCTGATTCTTCGTCTCTTGTGAATTTTGACGCTCTCAAATGTGATATTGATTAATTTTTGGGTGTACTATTTATCAGGAATGTGTCATCAAAATAAGATGACGAGATGTCCGGTTTGACTACTTGTAGAGCTGTCAAATTCTCTTCTTTGCATAATGACCTCGTATATGTATCCTGATATGTGCGATCTGATCGGTGTTCCCTCCATCTCTTCGTATATCTCATTGTTGAATTGGAAATAAATCCACGAGTTCTATAGAAGTTGAACATTGCGATTTTGAGCATTCATCGCTGTAGAGAAATCGCTGCATGGCTTCAATTGTTGACTTATTTGGACCAGTTGAAGCGTTTAATTCCGTGAGTTCAATGGAAGCCATGATTTCATTGTCATCTACTTGAATGCTTTTGTGCATGTTTCCTAGAAATTGAGTTAACTGACTGATTAACTGATCGTTCATTCATGATATTTTGGATGAGCTGACAACAATTAGATAACCGTTGGAAAGTGTTATCGAGTGTTTGACTTCAAGCTGTTTCGCTCTCACTGTTTGGGACTCGTCACGGTGGGCATACACTACCAGGATCGTAAACTAGGATCTTCCGATTAAATGTTTAGTGATCTCGCAGGTCGTTCAACCACTAGAATGATATCCATTGTCCAGGTCACGAATTCCGACTTCTTCACACTCGGGATGAATATAGCACAACCACCGGCTCATGTCCTTGACGAGTAACCGACCTCACAACTGATCTGAATCGGACCCCGATGGATGATTTGTCTACGAGCTCGCCAGCCTTGTAACAGAAAATATTGATGATTCGAACCATGATCATGGATGTAACATGCTGAAGAGTCCGAAACAACGGGGACGAAATAAATAGCTGTCCACTACACCCTGGAGCTTTCCGAATGTTCTAAAATTGATGTCAGCTCAACATCAAAGCTGTGATGTTCACCTTTCTCGTCACCAACTTCAGCTCAAATTTTCACTTACATCGTATCATGAATATTTGCATTATTATTTTGTTATTTTAATTGAGCGATCATAGATCACAGGAAATTCAGGCCCATTCGAGAATGGGATATAGGTGTCAGCCTGTCTTGGATCCCATTTAGCGATTTGGATACCAAGGAGTTCCAGCTGTAATTACATTTCAAGCGCGTGTTATGCTTTTTTGGATATAACGTCTGCCTCATTCGAAGTTATTGGATACGCATGTCAAGGTTCCGAATATAGTATCACAAGGAAAATAGCCGAGTCGTGGTGACTTAGGGCAGGATCATATATACTTTATTACAGAACAAGTAAGTTTCTGGAGATGGATGCATGTTTTGAAGAGTAAAATAGGCAAAGTCACGCTTAATCCTTCACTAGCTGCAGTCACACACATACACTCCCACGTGAATACTATTCACATTTCACTGAGTATATGTAACTTGATTTATCAATTTAACTTGAAATTTTCACGGAAATAAGATGTGCATCATTTCGAACAAAGCATAGAATGGGAGTTAACCTCCACCTCAACAAATTCATCCACTTCGGAAAGGCCTTCGACAGTGCATCACTTACTGGGAAGTAATTTTGAGACTGCTTCAACACTATGGCGTGCATTTCCCCAAATCTTTATCAACCTCATTCAACCGTTTGCTATATGACGATGCCACGTGTCTGTTGATCCATAGCAGAAAACTCAACGAAGTGAAGTGAATACAGGAGTTAGACAAGCATGTCCGCTTTTTATCAACAATGGTGACCTTTTCAGTGGTGGACTGTATTGTACATAAAATTGTCCGTAGTGAGACAAGGAGAATACGCAGGAAAAATAGGAATATTCTAGAAGATGTGAATTTCACAGATGATTTATTTTTACTGTCTCACATAGAAAGTTGAAGATTTGCAGGCAAAAATCTAGAAATTAGCTGCGTATGCATGTGGTGAAGACAGAACTCCAGGTGAACGCAGAGAAGACGTAGGTGATGAAGGTACCCAATGACATACAGCAGCATCAAAAACAAGAATCGCCAATCATTATGAATGGAAGGAATTTGAAAGAGGTTAGTCACTTCCTACACTTATCTAAGTGGCCTTGTCTTAACCACAGGCAGTCGGAACGGATGAATCCATAGAAGCGAAATAGATTCGGAGTGGAGAGATACACCTTCGTGTCTCTGAAATCGGTTTGCAAATCCTCTGCACTGCGCAAATACACAACGAGATTCGGAATCTCAACACAAACTTGAAGTCAGGTAGTACTAATTTAACAGTCAGGAACATGGCATTGGCGTCACAGAAAGCATTTCAGAAATCTCGTTGCGGAATTCATTCGACAGCTGCTTCTCTCACTCCACATTGAAGATGGAATGGCCAACCAAAAAGAACCAGAAACAAATAGCTAAGTGAACAGACTAAACATTAGCCTATCGTTCAAATACTATGTAGGAGAAGTGTAAATGGATTGGGCGAACGATGAGGTGACTGTTGATTGATATTGCGCGCAATGCAGGCCATCGTTCGAATAAAGGCACAATTGAAAGTGAGGAAGTTTTGGTCAATGTGATGTTGACAGGGAGTGAATCATGCGAATAGGCGATGAGGGATTATTGGAAATCGTGTGCTCAACTAAGGTAGACAGTGGAGAATAGGACAGAGTGGGGATTTGCTGTTCAAGCCGTATATTTTACTCAGAAGCCAACAATAATATAACTGTAAATAATGAGCGTCATTTACTTTTTGATGTGTATCCCCATTATCCGTGAGTTTCCTTCCATAGATTTGATGTTTATACACTGTTGATGATTACCTAAATGTAGATTTCGGGTCTTAACTAAGAGAGTCTTAGAAATGCTAACGCCAGTGGCAAGCTAGCTAGCTCATTGAAGACGGACAAGTCTTACATTCTCATGTCTTCTCCACACAGCAGTGTCACGTCCTGTGTACTGAGAAGTGGTAGAATTTCAGTTCACTGACTGACTGACTGTCTGACTGACTGACTGACTGACTGACAAAACTGATAATTCGCGAAATATACCCATTAAGACATTGAAATAAGAACAAATTAGTTCAGTGAAGAGTCTCTTTTCGGCGAATTCATTCACTTAGCTGTACAGTCGCAAATATATATACAATTATTTTGTGTGTGTGTGTACATTATGTTTGTCAAAATCAAAATAACAGTTAGTGTGGGTTGTTGATTATATCATCAAGATAATGAAGAAGTTAAAATGTGTGATTAATATTCAAAGTTGTAACTAAGTGGGGTGAAGATTGGTAAGATATGAGTAGAGTTACATCATCAAAATAATGAAGAAGTTAAAATGTGTGATTAATACTCAAAGTTGTAACTAAGTGGGGTGAAGATTGGTAAGATGTGAGTAGGGTTACGTGATATGGACATGTTTAGAAAGATTAGATGCTAGTGAAGGAGTTTGGAGACAATTATGAAAATAAACTAGATAATAGGTGAAAAGATTGAATGGGTTAGTTACTAAAAATTGTTATACGAAAATTGCAAAAAATTTGATAACAAAATGTTGATGACAAATAAACTTGGAATTAAACCCACGGTAGTAGGAGGGGGTGGAGAAGTTTCTTCTGTGTGCATAACTCAGGATTTTCCATCCAAATCGCTAAGGCTTCAGCAATACAAAGTATACGAAAGCTTGTCGATTTTGGAAGGCTTCTTTTGACTTTATAGATGACTTTGAACGACTTCTCCTTGCAAATCGAATGACCAGTGTTGAGTATATGCTCAATAATGGCGCTCCTTATTGCTCCGTTGTTACCTTTCCGTAGCCAGGCGGGATAGTGTTCTTGAACTCTTTTAGATAAAACACGCATCGAACGACCTATATACCTCGCTCCACAAGAGCAGGTGAATTGGTAGATACACATGGAAGTGGTCAAATGCGATAGTTTATCTTTAGAGTAGTTGAAGAACAATGGCCGGGAGGAAAATGTCAGTCGTAGTGTGGCAGCGAAGAATGTCCTTCTGAGAGCAGTAGATATCCTCTTCTTCAAGGTGTCAGCCAGAAGGTCACCTTTGAAGGGTACATTCATGTAGACCATCTTCTTCTGCACTGTAATGGGTTGTTCTTTGTACGTCTTAGGCTTAATGTGCTTGTCTATAAAACGGGGTGGGTAGCCATTCTCGAGCAGTGTCTTCCTTAAGAGGGCGATCTCTTCCTCTATTGATTCTGGACTACAGATTTTTCGGATTCTAGTCGCCATAGATATTATCAAGTTTCGCTTGCGACTAATTGGTACCCAACTGTAGAAGTTTGTCAATTGACCGTTCCATGTAGGTTTTTTGTGTACTGATCTGTTCAAGGTACCTTCGGTCTTCTTACTTAGACGAACGTCCAGAAAGGAGACTGTCTCATTGGTTTCTTCTTCGATTGTAAATTTGATGGCAGGGTGGCAACTATTGAAAACTTGAAGAACAATATTTTGATCACAATTGTGATCGCAGATGACGAAAGTATCATCGACATACCTTTTGTATAAGAAGAATTTGTCGATGGTTGCTTTCAGCGGACCGTTTTCCAAACTTGCCATGAAAATATCAGCCAGCACCGGACCCAAAGGTGATCCCATCGCCACGCCATCTTTTTGTCTATAGAAGTTCCCATTGAATGGGATCACCTTTGGGTCCGGTGCTGGCTGATATTTTCATGGCAAGTTTGGAAAACGGTCCACTGAAAGCAACCATCGACAAATTCTTCTTATACAAAAGGTATGTCGATGATACTTTCGTCATCTGCGATCACAATTGTGATCAAAATATTGTTCTTCAAGTTTTCAATAGTTGCCACCCTGCCATCAAATTTACAATCGAAGAAGAAACCAATGAGACAATCTCCTTTCTGGACGTTCGTCTAAGTAAGAAGACCGAAGGTACCTTGAACAGATCAGTACACAAAAAAACCTACATGGAACGGTCAATTGACAAACTTCTACAGTTGGGTACCAATTAGTCGCAAGCGAAACTTGATAATATCTATGGCGACTAGAATCCGAAAAATCTGTAGTCCAGAATCAATAGAGGAAGAGATCGCCCTCTTAAGGAAGACACTGCTCGAGAATGGCTACCCACCCCGTTTTATAGACAAGCACATTAAGCCTAAGACGTACAAAGAACAACCCATTACAGTGCAGAAGAAGATGGTCTACATGAATGTACCCTTCAAAGGTGACCTTCTGGCTGACACCTTGAAGAAGAGGATATCTACTGCTCTCAGAAGGACATTCTTCGCTGCCACACTACGACTGACATTTTCCTCCCGGCCATTGTTCTTCAACTACTCTAAAGATAAACTATCGCATTTGACCACTTCCATGTGTATCTACCAATTCACCTGCTCTTGTGGAGCGAGGTATATAGGTCGTTCGATGCGTGTTTTATCTAAAAGAGTTCAAGAACACTATCCCGCCTGGCTACGGAAAGGTAACAACGGAGCAATAAGGAGCGCCATTATTGAGCATATACTCAACACTGGTCATTCGATTTGCAAGGAGAAGTCGTTCAAAGTCATCTATAAAGTCAAAAGAAGCCTTCCAAAATCGACAAGCTTTCGTATACTTTGTATTGCTGAAGCCTTAGCGATTTGGATGGAAAAGCCTGAGTTATGCACACAGAAGAAACTTCTCCACCCCCTCCTACTACCGTGGGTTTAATTCCAAGTTTATTTGTCATCAACATTTTGTTATCAAATTTTTTGCAATTTTCGTATAACAATTTTTAGTAACTAACCCATTCAATCTTTTCACCTATTATCTAGTTTATTTTCATAATTGTCTCCAAACTCCTTCACTAGCATCTAATCTTTCTAAACATGTCCATATCACGTAACCCTACTCACATCTTACCAATCTTCACCCCACTTAGTTACAACTTTGAGTATTAATCACACATTTTAACTTCTTCATTATTTTGATGATGTAACTCTACTCATATCTTACCAATCTTCACCCCACTTAGTTACAACTTTGATTATTAATCACACATTTTAACTTCTTCATTATCTTGATGATATAATCAACAACCCACACTAACTGTTATTTTGATTTTGACAAACATAATGTACACACACACACAAAATAATTGTATATATATTTGCGACTGTACAGCTAAGTGAATGAATTCGCCGAAAAGAGACTCTTCGCTGAACTAAAACTGATAATCTCGTAACTTGGATTTCCCTATTATGAGCATCAACTGTTATCCAGTTATTGAGACTTTATCAGACTATATTTTTTACATCGAATCAACTAATCTAATATGAAATTGTATTCTACCACAGTG